CTCTCTCTCTCTCTCTCTCTCTCTCTCTCTCTCTCTCTCTCTCTCTCTCTCTCTCTCCACGGATCTTGTAGTGCTCTCTCCCTCTCTCTTTCTCTCCTTTAAAACTGATTTTGATTTGTTTTTTGGTAAAGGGAGTTGGAGGATGCACAAGAGGCTTGACGAGACGAGGTGACTGGAGGTCTCTCTTCTGTTCCATCGCCGAGGTCTCTCTTCCGCCTCCTCTCACTTCTTATTACTTCTCTTCTTCTCTTAACATTGTTGGATTGTAGTGGTATTTGTAGTTGTTTGCTCAAGGTTGAGGCAGAGAGAACAGATCCGGAGGCGAAGAGGTGGTCGGATAGAAGACAGAGCCAGAGGCTGGAGGAGACAGAAAATCAAGGCGGCTGGAGTCTCTTTTTTTTTTTTAATTTTGTTTTGTGTAAACCGAGATAGGAAAATTGTAGTGGTTTGATTTTATTTTAATTTCTGGTTTAGTTTTGTAAAACAGAATAAATTTGTAAATCCATTTTAGTTATAAATAAAGTTTATTTTATTTTTAATTATAAGAAAATTAGATTTAATTTTCAATTATTATTTTTAATTATAATTCATTTTATTTTACTGGAAAATGACCTATCATAGCACAAATATATGAATCGTAATCATTTTGTAGCAAAAACAATAGTGCTATAGTTAAGTTAATAACAGCATTCGAGTATTGCTATCGTATCTGCATATTTCATAGCATTTAAAAAATGCTATTATAAAGAGGGTACCTATGATGGCTGCCGCATACATAGCATTTATGAATTCGCTATCATACATCTACCATAGCATAAAACTTGCGCTAAGAATGTCCATATTTCTTGTAGTGGTATCTGGATCTGCAAGTAAAAGTTAGTTCCTATCTTTTTTTCTCTTCTAATTTCTCTCTTGAATCAAAATATGCTTCTAAGGCATGATTATTGACCAATATTGGACAAGCTTCCATGAAACAAGCCTTAATGGTGGTTGCTACCAAGTCCTGATCACTTCTTTTTGACCTATATCCAAGAATACATATGAAGTGAGCCTTAATGGTTGTAGCCACCAAGTCCCATTTGAATTCTTTTGTTGGAGTCATTATGAATCAAGCCTTAATGGTTGTAGCCACCAAGTCCTGTTCTGATTCCTCCTAACTAAAAACCTAATAAACTTAACACTATTTTCAGATTTTTTTTATGAATAACATAAATCTATTTAACTATTTAGGGTCAAAAATAGAGAGAGAAAATGTGATAAATCTAAACATAGCTTTACTTTCTAGACTTGTTTGAAGAATCCGATCCCATGTATACCAAGCCCCAAGACAAGCAGTTGTGTCGGGTTTAGTGTTGAAGGTCAACTTTGGTTCCTTCAAACAATCTAAGCAAGTGTGAATAGTTGACAGGTTGATCCACTTTAGCATCTTTAGTACTATCTGTAATCATTAGATCTAGAATGGTGCTAAAAAGTGGTTAGGTGACAAGAATAAATCAAATAAGATCATCATCCCTTTTCTTGATCTCAAAAAAATAGTTTTGAAAATAATTTTCATAAGACTCATAGCAAATAAATATCAGTAAACCTCCCCTCAGACTTAAATTATATTGTCCCCAATGTAAAACAGTCAGAGTTATGGCGAAAGAAAACAAATCATAAGTACTCAATGTAACAAGGAAGAATGATAAACCTGATCAGACTAAATATCGATCGATGTGTATGTGTATGCATCGATCGTTGCAGGTGTTCGTATGTCGATCGATATCGACTGTGTCTCGTCGGTCAATAAGATGGTAATCTGATTCTCCTTGGATCTTTTTTCATGGAAAAAAACCTGCAAGATGAAAAAAGAAAAAGAATCAGTAAAATAAAAGAAAACCAAAATAAAAATTACCTAATAGTGGGTTTCTTCCCACTCAGCACTTTATTATAGTCATTTAGCTTGACTGCTGAGGTATGTTGAGCTATTGTGTGGAAAAGCAGCTACTTAATGAAAAACAAGTATGAAACTTCTAGTTGCGTCATCACTTCTGGCCCATCTTTCATCCATCTTGGCAACTGTGTTTGAGATGTTTTGAAGTCTCTCATGAAGACTCTCAATGCTGATGCTGTGCCATTGAACCTTATCATAAACGTGTATTGCCAATTCCCTTAAATTCTGGTTCATTGAATCAGATGTGACTGGCTTCTCCTGTAACAGCTTCTCCTGGTCTGGTATGGACTCGGTACCGATCGCTTCGACTATTGCAGCATCAATCGTTTCTGATGTAGTGCCATCGATCGATGTATCTTTGTTCTTATCAAACGATTCTGCAGATTCAGGGTGACATGCGAGTCGCGTTTGAATTGTCCTAACTTCCTTCTGCAGCCACTATGTTCCTGAGTGTAGTCCACTGATGCTGTTCTTGAAGGGGAAGAATATGTCATCACAAATCTTGTCAAGCCTATCCTCAGTAGTGTTCAGAGCTTTGTAGATTATATCAATGATCTGACAACCTATGTGCTGGTATAGAATTTCTGCGCTGATAGTTTCTTTGTGTTGATCGATTTATCTTTCTGCATATCGATCGATGTCGAGGAAGGTAGGTTAAAATCGAGTTGCATCTGGATGGTGGTGACTTCCTGTTGCAAGGCAGTCATCCGTCTGGCCCATGTGTGCAAGTACCGCATAAATGGGGACATGTAGGGATCATGCTCATCTTCGCAGATCTTCATTCGTTCCTCCATGTCTAAAAGCATGGCATCGATTGATGTGATTGTATATGTGTCGATCGATTTACCTTTTTCATGTTGATTCTTCTCTTCGCGGAATATATCCAAATCCTGTTGTATCATCTCAATCTTCGTGCTTAACCAGTTGATGTTGTTGTTGAGAGGGTGGTAGACTGCATAATCTTTGTGTTGAGGTATGTCTTGTCCCATGGATCTACTTTTCCTGTCAACATCCCTTCTCGTGCTAGTGCGTCGTTCGCGTCAACTGATGCGTCCTTAGTGGGTTGATCGATGCTGCTGTTGCGTCCTCTACACGATGTGATTGTATATGTGTAGATCAATTTGCCTCTCAATTTGACGCTTCTCTTCGCGGAACATATCCAAATCCTGCTGTATCAACTCAATCTTCGTGCTTAACCAGTTGACGTTGTTGTTGAGAGGGTGGTAGACTGCATAAATCTTTGTGCTGAGGTATGTCTCGTCCCATGGATCTATCCTTCCTGTCAACATCCATTTTCGTGCTGGTGCGTCGTTCGCGTCGATCGATGCGTCCTTAGTGGTGTCGATCGATGCTGCTGCTGCGTCCTCTACACGATGTGTCTTCACAATAGCTAGTTCTGCTTCCATCTCTTTCATGCGTGAAGTCAATCCAATGATGCTTTCCTGCAGAACCACATAGACCATATCCAGATTGTTGTTGAGCTTAACCACAGCTTTTTCATGGCAATCACCCATGCAATCAATCATCTCGTTGATTTCGTCTTTGGTGTAGAGCTCTGGTTCCAAAATCGGTCCATATTCTATGTTGCTTTCGATCGATGCTCGCCTTCTACTATCGCTCGATGGACGAGGGTCCTTGTTGATCGATGGTGGTGTGACAGTCGGTCGACGGTTGCTTCAACATGCCTTGTTGTAGCTGAAAGAGATTCTCTAGTCCATTAGCAATTTGAAAGATTTCTGCTATGTATTCTTTGGAAACTTGTAGAATCCTCCCATCCATAGCTTGTGCCTGACCTTCTGGATCCCTAATAACACCAAACTCATCTGGTTTTAGAAAATTATCAATATAATAATCCTTAATTGAAGAAAATTTTTGGGGTTAGAATCGATATGTGTATCGAGATGGTCGATCGATGGTAGACGAGAGGTGGTGATCTTTGACTGGTTGAATGTTGCACTTGTTGCTCTTCCATGAAGATCTCTGAAGTTGGTGTCTGATATCACTCAAATGTTTAACCCTAAGAAGTGAATTACTCTCTCAAATAAGAGGTTCAGTTGTATTACTTGGGGATCGAATCCACAGGGAACTAAGGAACACAATAGATGTAATCCTAAGTGATTATGCTAGGTTGATTAGATTTAAAATAGTAAATTGCAGTTTGTGAGCAACTTACCATTGCTCACAATAGATGTAATCCTAAGTGATTAACCGCTTATCTAGTGACTTAAACTTACCACAAGTAAATAATTATAACGTTAATTTTAAACCAATTTTTATAGTTAGATTAGCATACTAACGATTACATTTGATTAAATAGATATGTAATATAAAACATAAAATAAATACATCCCGTGCATAGCGCACATCGACCACTATTAACTAATATTTTTATATAAATTGTATTTAGGATATTGGGGTTCTCATTTGGTTCTCAGTTTTTGGGTATTAAAAACATGAACTGGTTCAGTTCAGATTTTCAGGCTTAATGAAATACTATGTTTCATTTACTAAGCACAGTTGATTTTATGTTTCATAAGTTTTGGAACAAGATCTCTGTTTGTTCAGCTGTAATTCTTTATGTTGTATCACTGATATCTGAGTTGCTTGCAGTTCGACAACTTGTATGGATGTCGCCACTCTCTCCCTGACGGAGAGCCACTGATGTCATAATTGCCGGAAAGGTCGCTGTTATCTGGGGACTGTGGTTATGGTGCTGTCGAAAAGGGTTGTGCTGCAAGCCTGCACCCATGAAAATCGCTGGTGCCCGTGTCATAGTGACTGAGATTGATCCAATATGTGCCCTTCAGGCTCCCATGGAAGGCCGCCAAGTTCTAATCCTTGAAGACGTTGTCTCAGAAGCTGACATCTTTGTCACCACCACTGGGAACAAAGACATCATTATGGTCGAGGAAGATGAAGAACAGTGCAATTGTCTGCAAGATTGGCCACTTTGACAATGAAATCGAAATGCTTGGACTTGAGATTTTTCCTGTTGTGAAACACAAAACGATTAAACCCTAGACTGATAGGTGGGTGTTCCCCTACACCAAGACAGGCATCATTGTGCTAGCTGAGGGTCGTCTAATGAATTTGGGATGCGCTACTGGACACCCCAGTATCGTGATGTCGTGTTCATTCACCAACCAGGTGATTGCACAGCTTGAACTCTGGAACGAGAAGTCGAGCAGGAAGTATGAGAAGAAGGTATATGTTTTGCCTAAGCACTTGGATGAGAAGGTTGCTGCACTTCATTTGGGCAAGCTTGGGGCTAGACTCACCAACCTCACCAAGGACCAATCTGACTACGTCAGGTCATTACAGGTACTGAGGAGAACAAAGGACCGAGCGTTGGACCATCCTATATTTATGTGGCCTAATCACAAAACCATACGTAGAACCAACGCTCGGTCCTTTGTTCTCCTCAGTACCATCACTGTCACTGTATAGGATGTTTCACTTCTTCCTTTAATTGACAAATGTTTTGGGATGTGACCCATGTCATTTTTTGTTCACAATTTAATAAAATCCAATGGGTTTATTAGTTGACCCAACAGATATCTACAGTGGTGTGGTTAGGGTTTTACTGAGTTGGTTCCCCAACATTCCTTGGAATCGTCGGCCTTTGTCTGCCATTAGAGATCTTTGCGATCCTTATCTCAATGTCTTCAGATAACCTAGAGGCCATTAGTTTTGTCCTTCTAAATATAGTACATATATAGTACTATGCGATGACGTAGATAAATCTATTAGAGATATAATGAACACGGAACCCATTAACTGATAGTCACTTTCACTAATCCGGGAGCTTCATATCAACAGCTAAGAGCCGGTCCAGAGTTTTTTTAAAGCTTGGAAAGAATAGGATGCTAAAATGTCTAGTCTACTTGTAAAGTCTATCTATCTCATCCTTATATCGATCAACCACCTTGTCCCGTCTTATCTTCATCGTAGGTGTCATGAAACCGTTGTCTATCTGCAATGATATTCATATAAGTTTCACACGAGGTTCAATCTTCCAATCATCAATGAAAATCTAACAAAAAGGGTGATAAGGATTGTACCGTGAAGGGCTCCTCAACGATGAGAACTGGACCTACTTGGAATGAACATTCTGATGTCCTGCATAACAATTTATACTATATCAGTTTCTTTCTTGCTCTCCTATGACTTACAACCTTAATGCTACAACAGAGTAACACAAAGTAAATTTCGCACATCTAAAGATCAAGTTTTGATCCTTGCATTTCTTAGTACGATATAAGCTAGATATACATTGGAGTATGCTCTTAAGAAAAACTCTATTCATTAGGGTTGAACCGTTACCATTTCCTCAGTTCTTCGTACACCATACTCCTTAGTTTCTCCTTGCTAAGTTCGTTGACATCAGGATCTACAGGTGAAATTTTGATTTTGGCTAATTCATCTGCTGCTTCTTTGTTTGGGACAATAATAGCACCAAGGCGGCGTTGATCCTGAGAAGCAATCAAATCCGAAATAGTAAATAAGTGAAACATCCTAAATCAAAGTGCTTCTAATACAAGTACCTGTCCAATAACCACTATTTGTTGAATCAAACTGCTTCTCATGGCTGCTTCTTCAATCTCCAATGGTTCCACATTTTCACCTACAACGATCAAACTGATATATATCAAACCTTTATAGTATTACTCTTGCACCAAGGCGGTGTTAAGACTTAATACTTGCACTGCTTAAAAATATATATATGCTAACACATATGATATACCTGTTGAAAGTACAATGGTGTCCTTGGCACGGCCTTCAAGAACGATAACACCTCCGCAGCTACGACTCCTCCCTGTTGAATGATAAGGCGCAATCCAACCCATGTCTCCAGTATTAAACCATCCATCGTCATCTATAACTTGCTTGGTAGCCACTGGATTCTGTGAAAGAAAAAATCAATAGAAAAATGAGTTAATATGATCTAATAATCACCAAACCAACAACAATCATCCAAAATACTTCACAACTTTGTAGTAAAATTAGCAGAAAGTGTGTGTTCACCTTATAGTAACCTTTCATAACCGGTGGGCCTCTGACTTTGACAATGCCTTTTGAACCAGGTGGAAGAACATTACCAGTCTCTTGATCTACTATTTTAAATTCTGTATTTTTAATTGGATGTCCAACTGAGCCAAGAACCTTCATATAAGAAAACACAATTTTAATTAGTTGATGAATGATATATATAAACAAAACACATAATAGATAGGAGAATTTGTAATGTCCTCTAAACACTACTTAATTACTAGATGGGAGCTTATTGTTAAATGAACTCATAAGAAAAGGTGAGAGCTTAAAAACATACATTACAGGTAATCCTCCGGGCAGAGACAACCGGTGAGGTTTCTGTCAAACCATATCCATTTTGTACATTCACACCAATGGCCTGCACCAAGAACAAACTCTGTTTGCATTGCATTGCCGAAAATAAACGTTTTATCTTTAACTTTAAGAACTAATAATATTGGCGGTCTAACCTCAAAAAACTTGTCAATATGCATAGGTAAACTGCCACCTCCACTAACACCAGCCTGGAGAAAACAAAAAAGTAAGTCATACAATCTTTCTTGTAAGTTAAGTGAAATTACAAAGAGATAAAAAAGATGTAGAACGGTGTAATACTACCTTTGTTATTCCAATAGACGACCGGATTTTTTTGTGCACAAGATTTTCAGCCAACATATGCAATGGCCATAGGACAAACGCAATTACTCTCGCCCACAACCAATCCACCAAAGTAACAATATACACTGGAGGCTTTTGGTTCTTTGTCAAACAAAGACCCTGAAAACACCAGAGAAAATGTTATCTTGGCTCCAAGCATCACAAATAGGAACAAGTAGAGACATTGCTTTAACGGGAAAGATTAGGCAGCACGATCAGTGTCACAAACCTCATAAACTCTTCTCATCTCCGTATAGGCTAGGCTGACTCTGATCAATGTAAGCGCCAAAAACTTACGAACAGGGGAGCTTGTAGAAATTTGCTTTTGAATACCGCTGCAATTCTCAGAAAACATCAAAATCTATTTAGGTAAAAGTAAATGAATCTTGTGAAACAGTTTTAGTTGTAAATTAGAATATACCTGTAGAGTGTCTCATATACCAAAGGAACCGAGATAAGATAGTGTGGTTGATACCGCTTGAGATCATCCTATACCAAGCATAAATGGAAAAGTTTCTATATATATAATAATCATGCAACGTTTCATCATATCTCATTTTCAAATTAAGATGCTTTAAAATGTTACCTTTAAGAACCTTATAGATGTATACTTTTGCTCAACTCCACATGTAAATATGAAGTATTCACAAGCCCGTTCATAAGCATGCCATGATGGCAACATACTTAGAAACCTTTCCCCAGCTTTAGCAGGTACAAATTCAGATAAGTTTCTTATCTGTCAAGTAATCCAAGAAACAAAGAGTTTTAATTTTTTTCAAGAACGTACTAACAAACTCAGTATTTTGTAAAATCTATGACATAAAGATTAGCTTAAGAACCTGGTGTAACAAGTTATGATGTGTAAGCATAACACCTTTTGGATTACCAGTAGTTCCGCTGGTATACATGATAGTGGCTGTATCATCTGGACCGATGAATTCAAATTCATACTTACCAGAATTACTAGCTCCAGCAAATTTTGCAAGTCTCTCTTGTCCTAAGTTTTTGATTTCGTTGTAACTATAGACTGGTGTATGCCTACTTGATGCAACCAACGAGGATTTGTCCCCCCATAGAAGAATCACAAACTTTTGTGATGCCTTGTGAGAAAAGGTATCAGCAATTCGGTTGAAAAACTCAGGGTTATCCACAACAAGACCTACACTGCAAGACAAGGAAATATAAGTTATCAAAACTCAATATTTATTAACTTTTTCTTGCTACTCTTTGAAAAGGTACGCCCCTGAAACAACAAAAGAAATAAGGTTCAGGTGTTACCTCTCAGAATGACAGTATATCTGCAGTAACTCTTCAACAGAGGATCTGGATCCTCGGACAACATTGACTGCTCCTGTCGCCATTATCCCTGGAATAAAGTATTAATGATTACAATACGCATCTCCGCAGATCATTGGTTGTCTCTGGAAATGACCAAATGGTTAACGTGTAATGTAAGTAATGAGAAGGTCAGTGTTCCAAGTTTAATGGCATTAAGCAAGTTATGTAATGGATAATTAATTTCCTACAGCGTTGTAACTGTTCTATGCAATCAACCACGTACCTTGATCAGCAACAAGCCACCGACAGGAGTTATCAGCGAAAAGTGCGATCTTCTCATCTGCTTTCACTCCAACGGCTCGCAAGCCCTCAACAAAGTCCAAGATTTCTTGCTCCAGCTGCAGTGTGAAGATGATTGAAATGAAAATCTTCCATTTCTCATCCCAATTTTAACATTACTGAAACCTTTAAAAGCAATTCATTACCATCCTATCTCAGTACAAGAAGTACATCTTATCCAGATGCATAATAATTAAAACAATAGGTTTATAGGATCCTAAAATAGAAACGAACAAACAGCTAAGGACATGTTTCACAGTAAGGTGACGAAACCTATGTTTTGTGAGGTGGCCTAGAAATCTATAAGGTTTCCAATCATGTTTGATATCATGTAATACTTACGTACTAACTCCTTCTTAAGGAAAAAGAACATAGAAGAAATAATCCTCTGTTTCAAAAGTAGAACAAGTGAGTCACGCAATGAGCTGCAAAAGCATTTCTAAATAACAAGTTTTTACCTGTCTGTACGTGAATGTGGAAGGAGGGTCATGATAGGGATCAACCACAGCAACTCTGTCACCGTACTTCTCTGCAGATGATCTCCATATATCAGGAACAGCCTTCCATTCATTAGAATTTAGAGCAGAAGCAGCATCATCCCCTGGTAACGATGAGCGTTCCAAGAACGGTGAACAACGCCTTAGCTCCTTCGCTTTAACCTATAAGAAATAAAGGTCAACAAGATTTGATGTTACCGATCATTCGAGAAGGCTAAAAAATAGATTTAGCTTTCGTAAGACCTAAACTAATCTGGTTAATTAGTGCAACCGCTAAAGTTGACCACCCCCAAAAGTCAACCTTCAGCAAGATAAATTTTGACATAGGAATCAGTCAGAATCAAGAAAGGGAACTCGCCGTGGACTCGCAGTGAACACGAAATCTCAGGCGTGAAGAAACACGAGTTCGGCGGCTAAGACGCATGTAATTCCCAGAATCTTGAAATTCACGAGGAGATGAAAAGAATCTTGAAACGAGAATCGAAGGTCCCAGAGACGTCGACGCCATGGCTGGGAGAGAAGAAGAAGAAAGAAGTTACTGGTGTTGGCGTGAAGATGAGAGAAAGATAGATGATGAAGCAAGTAACATAGAAAAGGACGAGAGGAGGGTGACGATATCGTGATTACGATGTTCACAGGATTAAAAGAAGAAAAAAAAGAAAAGAAAAGACCAGTTGGTTAGCACCGCTTCAGAAGCATGGCAACTCAGAGGATTTGCTAAAGAAAACAAACAGAGTCGATACTTGCCATTTATAAGTATTTTTTATTTTTTATTTGTTTTATTAATAACCGTTGTTTGTGTGTCGCCTCTTTACCTTATAAAATCTTAAGCAAAACTTTTATGTTTAACATATTTAATCCCTAACTGTAAGTCCTAAATTTGGTGATTGATATATAATTTTAGTTCCGTTATAAATCAGTCAACAATATTTATTTTGAACTTTGTTAGTTCTTAAAAGAAATATTAGTACACATTTTTGTTATTGAAATATTTTAAATTTTATATGAAGTTGTAAATAAGGAAAAGTACATTCAATATTTAAAAAATAAAAAATAAAACAAAATGAACTCTATGGTAATTTATTGATTTCTCTTAATTGAAAATTTCATTTTGTATAACTAATTAAAACTACAAAGAAAACACATTATAAATTTTCTATTAATTAAAATTTTGGAGCTTAAAAGCCCAAACAAGACAAGAATTTTGTTTCTAAGAAAAAGGTTGTCCTCTCACGACTTCACTTTACGTTTCTAGTTTGTAGACTGTCTCACGGCTCCGACGTTTGTGACGCACATACTTCAAGAGAGATGGTCTTTCTTTTCCACTGAATACAATAACAATCTCTAAACGTGGCATCTCTTCTCCCGCAAGCGAAGTTTATCACCACCCGAGAACAAGATCAACTATTGATTCGTTTCTTGAACTCTCAAGGTTCTTTGCTACTTCTTTTTCTTAAGAGTTTGTGTTTTTTAGGCCTGCGTGCAAACGGGGCACTGTGGTTTTTGTCCTACCTGCTATTTGACTTGCTTTGTACAAGTACTAAGTTTTTTTACTTATACTTATACTTGATTCGTTCAAGTACTTAACTATTCAAATACTTGTCTATATTTTCAATACTTGTAAATTACTTGTTAATACTTGATACTTGTTTATTTAGCTTTAAAATTTTGAAATTAAATATACCACAACATATAAGTTTTGGTTAACATGGAATATATATGTTTTTTCATATAGTTTGTTTTTTTACTTAATTTATTCAAGTTATTTGATTTAGTGTGTGTATATAATTCATTGAATATAAGTATATATTACATTAATTACCTAAAAAGCTAAAAATAAATAAATAAATTTATTACAAGAACAGTAGTAAAAAAGTATATTAAGAGATAGTACAAATTTTTAGAATTAATATTAAGTAATCAAATAAGTACCAGATTTTTAGAATTAATATTAAGTAATCAAACAAGTAACAAGCCGAGTATTACAAAAATTTGTGATACTTGACTTGTACTTGCAAGTAATATGATTTACATACTTGTTACTTGTCTTAAAAACGCCAAGTATTTGATTTTTCAAACCGAGTACGAATCAAGTAGCAAGTATTGACGAGTAACAAGTATTAGTGCTCAGCCCTAGTGTTTGTAGTAAATGTATAAGGATTAAAGAAAAGTAGCTGGTTGGTTGGTTCAAAAGAGACGCACTGCACTGTCAAGTTATTTATAGATGTAATGCTAATATTTACTGACTGATAAATTTATTCCTAAATCAAGACAAATATATAAGCATGGCAACTTCAGAGATTGCTAAAAGACAAACATAGACTATACTTACACAAATATACGAACTTATATCCGTTATCTTACAATTTTTACATTTAGTTAGCGTCTTACTCTTACCTTATAAACCAAACTATCCATATATGTAATATGTTTTAAAAAAAATCGAACAAAACTTAATGTAGTTCCCGGCTTGGTTATTGTATATGTTTTGGTTAAATTCGTTATAAATTTCCCCATAGTTTCTTAGATTATTTCCTCACTACTTTTATCAAAACACATTTATATATTACCAGATGCATAAAACATGAGAGATGATGCAATCTTCGTTTTAAACTATTAGTAGCAAATTTTCATTGTTTATTCAATCTTTCTCAACAATAGAAAACAAGGAGTAAAAAACTTGGAATAACGGAAATTAATAATTATCAAGAACAAGATTGATTTGAAAATACTAATGATCCTTCTTCATACGCCTTACTTTTGACTCTTGGGGGGAAGTCTCACAGTGTAACGCTAGGGAACTTGCAACGCTCATTCCCTGTCGAAAATAGTCATAAAATCATTAAAAGGTACTTAAATTGTCCCAAAATTGCCCTTGCTTCAGTGAAGTGTGTGTTTAGTATGTCTAGTGTTTCTTGTTCAACAAGTAATGTACAATTTTAGAAACTCACCAGGGTTGGTTGTGGTCTCACGCCCCAAGCCATTGAAGTAACACCGAGAACTTTGGTTACGGAACTCAGCCCAATACGAGCTAAATGCATAGCTAGCATGCCAAGTAATCGAAACCGGTGCGTAACACTCTCTTCCCGGCGCCAAAGCTGCACACGTTGCATTGCTTTGTCCGCAAGCAAAGTTAAGCTCCCGCTCTAACTCTGCTTCGCTGGCTCCTTCCACCGCCACACACCAAACATCCCCCTTGAACGGAACATTGTTACTAGGTTTAGGCAACGAACCATTACTAGAAACCGGTCTTGTCCCGCTGAAATCGATTTGGTAGATCTGTGTACCGTCAGGATTCAAAATCCCCCAATGCCTCTCTGTTCCCGAACCGGGTTTCTGGTTTTCATTGAATAAAGAGAACAAAAACGTCGGTATAGGTGAACCGGGTCTAGCTGGTGTACCGAGCGGCGGGTTAGCAGTCATCTTCTTGATCAAATTCCGGTTGTAAGTTGCCGCATTGAGAACGTTAGCTCCGGTTTCATCGATATCACCGCCATTAGGCCACCCGGTTTCAGAGATTGCCAGCCGGACGTTTGGATAACCGAGCTTGGTCATCGCGAAGATAACCGAATCAAGCATCTGGTCTAGAAGATTGGTGTAAACCAAACCGGTTTGAAGATCGGTATAAGTTGAATTCGATTGGAAAAGAGCAAAATCTAAATGGTTGTTAACCGGGTCAGTAGACCAAGGGAAGTAAGGGTAAACATCGAGGAAGAAAAAAGAGTTTGTTCCGTTGAGAAACTTCAGCAACGGTAAAATCACAGGAGCGATGATTTCTTCCCGGAACCCACCACTCGACGGAGGAAAACTCGTTAGAAGAACATCCATGGCGAGTGGTGTTCCGACTTTGATATTGTGAATCCCTCTTGCTCTAAGAGAAGTAACGATTTTACGCATGGCAGGGACAAGACTCACCCAGACTTGTTTGTCATGAGCTGAGTTGTTGCTGAGAATCTCGTTTCCGACGAGGACGAATCGGATTTTTGTTAGTGGGTAGTGAGCAAGGACGTTGGTTTTGACCCAATTGTCTGCGGTGGCTTGATCGGCGCCGATGGGAATTATTTGGTTGTTAGGGACCATGATTGTGACGTAGAGATTGGTCTGAGAGAGGACCATTAGTGTTTCGGGGTCGGCGTCGTAGAGTTTGACGTGACCCGCTTTAATGGATTTGATGAGGTTGATTGATTGGTAAGGAGATGGGAGGTTGTTGCCTAATCTTCCGTAGTTGATCCCGATCCTGCTTGCAAGTGATAAAAATGTTTTGTTGTTCGGTGAACCTATTGTGTAACGACAAGAACCTGTAAAAATAAGACAATGTTATGGTAAAAGTGAAGTGTGTTTGGTCGTTGAATTATAATGTAAGTGCAATGAGACTTACTTGATAGGACAATGAGAGTGACGAGGAACAGAGCAAAAGAAGCCATTGGAGAAAAGATGTTGAAAAAAGCTGAATTTAGGATGAAGGAGAGGAGACTTGTTGAGAGGGTATTTAAGAGGAGATTATGGGATTATCTTTTGGGATTAAGATATAATCACTCATGCAAGATAAACCTTTGATCAAACTATTAGTTGTTTCTTGAACTTTCACAAAGTTCTTTGTCTTTCTTTTTGTTTGGTTTTAAATTCTGTGTGAGTATGAGAGATTAAACAAGACTGGTTGGTTGGCTTGTTCAAAGGAGACCAAGAACCGCTTTGTCAATTGTAGATGTAATGCTAATTGTTCTTCGCTTTTTTCTTTATTGATTCTTGAATTATTGCTCATCAAGAAAAATGTTATTTACATGAAAAGGAAGAAATATTGTTATCTATACTATTAAAACGCACTGGTAGTACATAATTGATTATTTTAAATTGACATAAGAAAGGTAAAACATGTTCAATGATGATAGACTTTGATGAGATATTTTCCATAAACTTGCGATTACAAATCGATAATTGAGTGACAGAAACAAAAACAAAAGAAAAGCTTCGTCACATCCATGTCATAGAGATCAACGAGTTGGCGAGACCAGATTGTTCGAAACTCACACATCCGTAATAAAGATTCTTGTAATATCCCGGGATCGCTTGAAACAGCTTGAAAGGCTTGTTCCTCTCCGATTGATCAATCTGGGAATAGCAAAACGACCAGAGAAGCTGAACCGATTCTGATTTGAGGAAACTTCTCTGCACTTTTCTCCCGTCGGGTAATCGAACACAGATCCTACACAAAACGCTTTGATCCCAATCGCTATTTGGCTCTTCTGACAATTCCGGGTATCCCATAACCGCGTTCGGTAACAAGTATGCTGTTGTTGTTGTACTCTCGGTAGCTGCTGGTGTGTTGGAACAGAGTTTCGGGCGTTTGGTATCTACGAACGGCGATAAATTCTCCACGAGTATCTGGGATTCAAGCATAGCGAATGATCTTTTTGCCATTGCACGGAGTCAAACTGTTTGACTTCGTAGTAACCTTTTTCAGGAGGAGGGTTTGAGTGAATATTGCGAATGGATGGAGCTACTCTATTTATCATGTATTAATAGGAGGAGGCGTGGAAAAAGAGATACTGCTCTCGTTTCGTTTGAAATGGATATTTTCCCTTTTTATTATTGGCAACAAAATAGATTTATGGATATTTATCTTTTTTTAGTTTATTCAGTTTTTCATGCAAATTTATCTATTCTATTAAAATATAGTCACTTTTTTTATCTACTTATATAAGTAACTAGAACCATTTATCTACAATCCTAACAAATATGAATATCATGTATAACAATATCCCTTAAAAATAGCATCTACTTTTGTTGGTTATTTATATTTGTACGTAACATATATTGCCTTCAGATAGCATGATATTTTATAAAGTAGATATAATACATATATATATATTATATTTTATTTAATATATTTCTTAATTATGATCTTTGTGTATTAGAAAAATATATGCTATTATACTATTATACATGAATATTATAAGTTGTCTAATTAAAAATAATCTTGCCATGACATACTATTATACATACATATTATACTACATATTATAATTAGTCTAATTATAAGTAAGACACACACACACACACACACATATATATATATATATATATATATATATATATATATATATATATATATATATATATATATAACAAACAATTCATAATTATTTCACCAACAATAATATATATCCATCTAGACTTTTTTTTAAATAAACATATTTCACCAACGATAATAACAACTAACCTAAACATACGTAAAAGAGTAGATATATTAATAGAGTAGATGCCAAACATTATGGGCTATAAAAATTATTGTAGATGGCCCAAATTTTTTTAATTAGTTAATAATTATGTGAAACTGAACTATTTGTTTTGTTGTGTTACATAATAAATATATATATTTTTTTAAAAATCATATTAAATAGATTACTTAATATATTCCAAATATCTTAAAATAGTAACATCATCTAAATATATGGCAAAATAAAATTTCATTTGAAATTTCAGTTATAAATTTTTTATCCAAAATAATATATAAAATATGTATATATATAAATCTTAATTAAATTTGTGGTTTTACAAAATAATAATATATCCGCGTAGGCGTGCGGGTCAAAGTCTAGTTCACATTATAGTAAATTGAGTTTTGATTCAGTACATACGTGTATCCTGTCCCCTGTTCGAGAAAGTCGGGAATTATGTGGAGAAAAATTATTTGATATGTTATAAAATATGTTAATATATAATTATATATGACATTAATACATTTTCATATTTAAAACCGTATAAATACACAAATAGAATATATAAACCTAATATGGTATACTTTTCATACAAATTATGGATATAAGTTACATTTATCAAATTTTAGATTAAATAAATAGATAAAATATTATTAAAAATATAAAAAAATCAAGTAAAAAATAAAAAAAATGATTAGGTGGCCGCCTAGACGACTAAACGGTCTTCTAGACGATCTAGGTGAACTAAAATCAAACATCCGATTTTATTCACCAATTTGACATAAATCAAGGCGGATGAAGGCCACCTAACACCTAGGCAGCCGCCTAGACGGCTAAGCTGCCGATTTTAGAACATGGATCCAGTTCAAACTAAAAAGAGTTTAGTGTGGCTTAATTTTACTTTAAGAAAGTTAAAAGACACTATTCAGAGTGAGAGAGGGGTTTTAGCTACATCAATTATAGGATTTTAAATGGAGCCTAAAATCCATATGTTCATGTGGGAGAGTGGTTTCAGATACATTTACAAATGGCTGATAGAGTACAAAGCAGAGGAATAAATCATGTTTTCTTCGTTGTAACAAAGCTAAAGCCTGCTAGAGTACTTAGAACAAATTTCATCCCTTGAAAATGTTTTTTTTTTTTAGAATCTATAAAGAAAACTTGGACTTTCATCTTGGCATATATGTTAGATCTAACTGAAAGAAAAAAAAAAGGAACATTACATATACAATGATACCATAGTTTTTACAGAGTATATGAAAAAACTCAAAATGTTATACTTGTCCGAGAAGTCAGAAGTTCCTATTTATATAACGATCAACTGAAGATTGCAAGTTCTGCTGAGAAGTAAACATGTCAAAAGATGTCTTCAATTTTACTTTGTTTTCATAAGTTCTCTTTCTTTATGCTCTTAAGTTTATAATTCATATTTTTGTGTATGAATTTGATTTTATAATAAACAACTAGATCTTGATTCACGCTTTTGTGTTCTCTTTGTTTTTATTTTTAAATGATTTAAAATCTACCTATATTTGTTTCGCACTATAACTATCGATTTTGAATGTTTTATTATACATTATAATTTTTCAAAGTGTGATTTATTCAAAGTAGATTTAAAGATGATATGTATGTTTTAATATTAAATATATTCGATACTAAAGAATTAATTTTATTTGGTAAGAAGAAAAATATATTTTAATTATTGAAATGTATCAATAAACCAAGTGTCAGTTTTAAATTAAAAATGATTTTCTCTTGGAATATATTTATATCATAGTTTATAACTTTCAGTCTATACTATTTCAAAACAAATTATTATTATTATTGATATATTTTTTAATTTCATTCTTAAATTTGTAAATTAAGCTAAAGCGTTAATTAATAATGTTAATTTATTCATATTTTAAATTTATTAAAATAATTTTAATAGAAAAATGAATATATATATATATATATATATATAGTTTGATTAAAAAAGTACGGAATAACAAAAGTTCATATAAAATTTTATTTTTATTTTAATATTATCTAGTTAAACTAAAAATTTATATAAATATAATGTATCATACTCACTGTGTTGTTTAAAATGTTCCATGATTGATGAAAATAACTTGCAAAAATATATAATAGTAAAAAAATCAAAAATAACCCGTTCCATTTTATTAAAAAAAACATTAAATGTTAATATTTCTTTATCAAGTAAATATATTTTTCTCTAATTTTACTATAAATGTTAATCATGTGATTTGAGTTCACCTTCTAGGGTGACTATCTAAGTTCACCACTAACATAATAGTCAATAAAAGTTTGCCAATTATATTATATTTTAAAGTAAAAAATGAAGAATAAATAAAAATAATAGTAACTGTAATAAAAATAATAATATTATTATTGATATATATTTTTTAATTTCATTCTTAATTTTGTGAACTAAGCTAAAGCGTTAATTAATAATGTTAATTTATTCATATTTTAAATTTATTAAAGTAATTTTAATAAAAATTGAATATATATATATATATATATATAGTTTGATTAAAAAAGTACGGAATAACAAATGTTCATATAAAATTTATTTTTATTTTAATATTATCTAGTTAAACTAAATATTTATATAAATATAATGTATCATACTCAATGTGTTGTTTAAAACCATCGTGTATTTATTAATATATTCCATGATTGATGAAAATAACTTGCAAAAATCTATAATAGTAAAAAAATCAAAATAACCCGTTCCATTTTATTATAAAATAGTCTAAAATAAATTAAATGTTAATATTTCTTTATCAAGTAAATATATTTTTCTCTAATTTTACTATAAATGTTAATCATGTGATTTGAGTTCACCTTCTAGGGTGACTATCTAAGTTCACCACTAACATAATAGTCAATAAAAGTTTGCCAATTATATTATATATTAAAGTAAAAAATGAAGAATAAATAAAAATAATAGCAACTGTAATAAAAATAATAATATTATTATTGATATATATTTTTTAATTTCATTCTTAATTTTGTGAATTAAGCTAAAGCGTTAATTAATAATGTTAATTTATTCATATTTTAAATTTATTAAAGTAATTTTAATAAAAAAATTGAATATATATATATATATATATAGTTTCATTAAAAAGTACGAAATAACAAATGTTCATATAAAATTTTATTTTTATTTTAATATTATCTAGTTAAACTAAATATTTATATAAATATAATGTATCATACTCAATGTGTTGTTTAAAACCATCGTGTATTTATTAATATATTCCATGATTGATGAAAATAACTTGCAAAAATCTATAATAGTAAAAAAATCAAAAATAACCCGTTCCATTTTATTATAAAATAATCTAAAATAAATTAAATGTTAATATTTCTTTATCAAGTAAATATATTTTTTAACTAATTTTACTATAAATGTTAATCATGTGATTTGAGTTCACCTTCTAGGGTGACTATCTAAGTTCACCACTAACATTTTAGTCAATAAAAGTTTGCCAAATTATATTATATTTTAAAGTAAAAAATGAAGAATAAATAAAAATAATAGTAACTGTAAAAATAATTAAACGTTGACGCCGTCAACAAAAATTTAAACCCTAAATCATAAAAAAAAACTAAGTCCTAAACCCTTGGATAAATGCTAAACCCTTGGGTGAATCTTAAACCCTTGGAAAATCCTATAAATCCTAGGGTATAGGGTCTATAGTTTTTCTGACCCTAAATCATAAAAAATCTAAACCCTAAATCCTACTCACGAAACCCTAAACTCTTAGATAAACCTTAAATCTTTGGGTATATCCTCAACCCTTGAACAAATCCTAAACCCTATGGTATAGGATTTATGGTTTTGCTGATAGCGTTTAGGATTTACTATTTAAGATTATAAGTTTAGGATTTTGCTTACGATGTTAACAACATTAATTTTTTTTTTCCGGAAATTAATGTTATTTATGATTATTATTTATCTTTTTAAATAAATAGAATATGAGTTGACAAATTTTAATTTATTTATAGATAAGTGAATCCAAGAATAAGTCTTTTTTTTAGTCAAACTACGAATCTATTGCTAAAAGGAAAAGTCTAACCTCCTCTTGTGAGTATGAGTTTACAGAAACGAGCTCTAACTTTGCCACTAAGTCAGCATCAACATTACATAAACGAGAAATGTAAGAAAACGAGCACACCTTTAATCGGCTGCTAAAGTAGTATATATCAATGAGGATGTTGTTCAGCTCAGTCCTTGTTTCCTTTGGCTTCAATTACTTCACCAGAACCTGTGAATACGAGAAGAGTAGCAGAGACTCTGCATTTGATACAAAGGCTTCCATAACCGATCTAAAGTAGTAGATATCAATGAGGATGTTGTTCAGCTCAGAACTTGTTTCCTTTGCCTTCAATAACTTAACCAGAACCTGTGAATACGAGAAGAGTAGCAGAGACTCTGCATTTGATACAAAGGCTTCCATAACCGCTTTATGGACCTAGTGCTTCTGGAATAAGCACCGAATCAACATGTATTCTTAAGGCCATTATATCCTTATACTTATCCTGCTCCTGCTCTCTGAAGACCCCTGCAGTTCCACAGTTCCATGTGGTAGCATCCCAAGATGCATCTACAAAGCAAACCAGGCTCTCATTCTCAAAAGATGGTAAGGCTGGGGGACTCACCGATGTGTTACGTTATACAGAAATTACAGCGGGTTGAGCTGATTTCCATTCTTTTGTATCCTTCATGGCCAAGTTAATGACTTCCTGCCCCAACAGGGACCTATTTTTAAAGACAAACAAGTTTCTAGCCTTCTAGAGGCGCCAAAAAATCCAATTACAATTACAATTTTAAATCATTAGGAGATATTAGAAGTGTTATGAGATTTTAATTTTAGGTATCTAGTGTACCAAGCTTTAAAATGGATTTTAGTTCCACTAAAGATTTTTTAGTTAAGGTTATTCTGATAATTTATCTTCTTCTTTTTTTGAACAAATTCTGATAATTTATCTTATATTTATGATTAGTTAAACCATATTTACTGTCACACATTAGAATTGAGTTGCAATCTTAAAATTAGTTTATTTTTATCAAAAATGGGATTCATTCTGATCAATTATTTATGAGTATATACAAAGTGTAAAGCTATAAAGAGTTGTAATTTATGTGTACTTGTTATCTGGTGCATGATCATATTGATTACTATGTATGTTGTTGTGGTGCATGAATTTGATCAAACTAAATTTAGACTAAATATTGATATGAACATAACTAAAATTTTATGTTCGCTTGTGAGACAACAAGAAACTATTTTCTGAGAAACCATTCTTAGATGTATTTAAAATAATAATTAAAAACTAAATTTTGACCGACACATATGTACGACTATTTGTTTTAACTTTCAAAATTATGCAATATATGTTTTTGTGCATAAATATCGTAATATTAGCATTATATTGTTATTTATATTTCATGTTATTTTATATTTTTATTATATACTAATTATATACAGTATTCAGCTTTTTTTGTATCTTTGGAGTTTAAGCGCATATAAAATTATTAGTTATACAATAAGTAAATAGTTATTTGAATTGTTTATTTTATTTCAATTTTTTTAAACAGAATACTTAATTTTCGATAGGAAAAATTGAAAATATTTTTAAAATAGTAAAAAATGATTTATATCATAACAGTTCAAATGATAATATATCTACAAAAATTTGGAGATATGTCACTTTTGAGTTGGAATTGGCTAATAGGGCCATTCTTAGTTTTAATTTGTACAGAAGATCACTTTGCTTTTTGGTCATGTGTAAAAATTCAAGAACACCCTAATCAATTAGCATATTCACGGAAATACCACAGCATGTTAGTTGTATTATTTTTTTACATATACAGTCAATTATGGATAAATTTAATTAATTTTTTACTTTAAGAAAACTTTTATTAAGATGTATTATCATTTGCAACAATCATTAATGTTAAGCATAAATAAAATTAACTATTTATACTTTTAAGATATTTTTTTATTAAGACTAATGTTAAAATGTAGGACTAGTTAGCTTCTAATAGCATTAGATATAATTAAAAAGTTATTTTAAGGGTTTTGATACTTCAACTTTAGTAAGATAGATTTAAAGTACATTTATAACATTTATTTAATCAAGATTTCTTATCAAAGCTTTGATGATCCAAGATAAACTTCTTCATATAGTTCTTAGAAATCATATAAATACGAAGATATTCCAAGAAGAACCACAATTCAGAAAAAAATGGGAAGAAAGAAAATAGAATTGAAGTTAATAGAATGTCCAAAAGAGAAAAGTAGCAAATTCTCAAAACGTAAGAAAGGGTTTTTAAAAAAGGCTGAAGAATTGGCAATACTGTGCGATACTGATATAGTTCTCCTCGTCTTTTCTCCCACCTCCAAGCCTAACCTTTTCTATCCTCATTCTAGGTCTTTTTGATCTTTTTATTTACTTTGTTTCCAAAACTATAACATGTTTGAACAAAATAATATATATTGGATTAAACATACAATGCCATATATTATGTTGCAAGGAATATAAAATCATTTATTTATTAACTAAGACACAAAGACTGTTATTTTGAATACTTCATCAATTGTATATTCAAATCATCAATATTTTCTTAAAATTATGCATATGAAATTGCAGACATCTTAGTAGAATTTTGGAGAAGCTTTCCAATATGTCAGAAGATGAACGAGAAGAGAGGTTGATCTTTCGGGTTTTTGTTATTATTATATAAAACTATATTAGCATAATTTTTTTTGGGATTTTATCTTAATTTAATATCTATGATTTTCTTGTATGTATGCATTTAGGAGAGCCGACACAGAAAAGGTTTGTTTTACAAACTAGTTATTTGAAAAAAATCTGATTTTTTATTTGCTTTTACGAAATACTGAGCTTAGATACTCAATTTTTGTTCATCTAAATTTGTAGACTCTGGTGGCTCATTTGAAGAAGGAAACTATAGAAATTCCCAATGAAAAGCGTAATTATTATTCTGGAAGGTACAATCATGATTTTTTTTATTATTGTTACATATATCTAATTTCAGACCAGATTGTATCTAATTTTGAGATATTTATTGCAGAGATGAAGGGCTCCAGGTACCGAAAATAACAGAGTACTAGATTTCGACCCGCACAACCGTGCGGGTATTTTAATACGGAAATATTTGAAATTATATAATAAAATTTATTAATAAATAAATATAATTTGATTATATATATTATCCAATTGTATAATATTGTTTATGTGACTTATAATATTATTAATATAAAATTTATAAATTTATATTTTTGTAACAATTTTTAATACATAATTATGTAACATTACTAATTTATATATTTTGTTTTACTTCTAAATTTGAAATATATGTAAATTTCAATTAAGTTGGACCTATATAATACATAAAAAAAATTTGGATGTTGTTAAAAGTATTTTACATAATTTTAATTTTTGTTTGTAAATAAAAAATGAATTAAAATTTTAATTATATTTTCTGATAATTAAAATTTTAATCAAATAATTTTTGAAACTATATCTTGAAAATATTCTAAAAGATTTTTAAAAGATTTTCTCAAAACTATTTATTTGTATTTCAAATAAAAACTAAAGATATGAAAAGATATTATAATGATGTTATGTAAAATTTTATAAAATTCTAAGGATGGTCTAAACTAAATATCACACATGAAGTGAGTCATGACTTCTCTTTTAATATAATAGATTTAAATTGTACTTCATTTTTTTAAACACAATAGTTTTAATTTACCTATATAATAAATATGCAGCTTCAAAAAGATGATAAGATAATTGAACTGAGAGAAGCTAGAGAACTGCTTGATGAGAAAATATCAATTCTAAGGTAAATATTCTGTTAAATAATTTACTTATTACTACTATTAATTATTTCAGTACTTAATCAAATGTTTACTAATCTACAAGGAAGTGGCAAGACCCGGATAGAGTTGATGATTTGGCCCGACTCACAATAATGGAGGATCATCTAGTTTTTAATCTTAGCCTATTCAAAAATGTATTAGGAGTTAATATCAAATAAATAATATTTATTATTCTAAGAAATTAAAAGTTAGTGACCTAAATTGGGGAAAACTAGTTGGTATATTTTCCGGTTCGCAAAAAAATTAGTGTACTAAATTGTTAAGAAAAATATAGCTATTGCATTGTTAAGGAATTTTCCTAAAATTCAACATAATTTTTTTTTCAGCTTAAAATTGAAGAAAAGTGGCAAACTCAGATATGATTTCAAAATGGAAACATTATTGTTTACTATGTGTATATTATTATGTTCAATAAATTTACTTATCATAATACCAACAAAAAAATTTAGTTTTGTATTGATATGGGTTGTAAGTAAACAAAAAAGACAGTAAGTGGTATGTATTATTTTACAGAATAACATATGTTCATATAAAATTTTATTCTTATTTTAATATGATCTAGTTAAACTAAAAATTTAGATAAATATAATATATCATACTCAATGTGTTGTTTAGAAGAATCATGTATTTATTAATATATCCCATGATTGATAAAGTAACCTGGAAAAATCTATAATAATAAATAACAAAATAACCCATTCCATTTTGTTATAAAATAATATAAATAAATTAAATGTTAAGATTTCTTTACCAAGTAAATATATATTTCTGTAATTTTACTATAAATGTTAATCAGGTGATTTTAGTGAAATAATATCTAAAGATTTATTATTGAGTTCACCTTCTAGGGTAAATATCTAGGTTCACCACTAACATAATAGTCAATAAAATTTTGCCGTTATATTATATTTTAAAGTAAAAAGGAAAAAATAAATAGAAGTAATAGTAACTGTAGAAAAGAAATTAAACATTGACGTCGTCACCAAAACTATAAACCATAAATCATAAAAAAAAACTGAACCCTAAACCCTTAGATAAATCCTAAACTATTGGGTAAATCCTAAACCCTTGGCATAGGGTATAGGGTCTATAGTTTTGCTGACCCTAAATCATAAAAAATAAACCCTAAATACTAATCACTAACCCTTAAACTCTTAGATAAACCCTAAATCTTTGGGTAAATCCTTAACCCTTGAGTGAATCCTTAACTTTAGGGTATAGGGTTTATGGTTTTGTTGATAGCGTTTAGGGTTTAGTATTTAAGATTAAGGGTTTAGGATTTTGTTTACGATGTTAACAACCTTAAATTTTTTGGTATTTAATGTTATTTTTGACTATTATTAATCTTTTTAAATAAATAGATTTGAGTTGGAAAATTTTAGTTTATTATTAGATAAGTAAATCCAAGAATAAGTCTATTTTTTTTTGTCAAACTACGAATTCATTGCTTAAAGGAAAAGTCTAACCCCCACAAGGGGAGTATGAGTTTACAGAAACGAGCTCTGACTTTGCCACTAAGTCAGCCTCAACATTACATAAACAAGAAATGTAAGATAACGAGCACACTTTTAAACGGCTGCTAAAGAAATAGATATCAATGAGGATGTTGTTCAGTTCAGTCCTTGTTTCCTTTGCCTTCAATAACTTAACCAGAACATCTGAATCCGAGAAGACTAGCAGAGACTTTGCATTTGATACAAAGGCTTCCATAACCACTTTACGGACTGCTAGCGCTTTTGCAATCAGCGCCGAATCAACATCTCTTCATGAGGCCTTTATCTCCTTATACTTCTCCTGCTCCCGCCCTCTGAAGACCCATGCAGTTCCACAGTTCCGTGTGGTAGCATCCCAAGCTGCATCTACAAAGCAAACCAGGCTCTCATTCTCAATAGATGGTAAGGTTGGGGGCCTCACCGATGTGTAACGTGATACATAAGTTACTGTAGCTTGAGCTGATTGCCATTCTTTCGCATCCTGCATGGCCAAGTTAATGTCTTCTTGCCCCAACGAACAAGCAAGTTTCTAACCTTCCAGAGGCGCCAAAAGATCCAACTACAATTACAATTTTAAATCATTTGGAGATATTAGAAGTGTTATGAGGTTTTAATTTAAGCTATCTAGTCTAGTGTATCAAACTTTAAAATGGATTTTAGTTCCACTAAAGCTTTCTTAATCAAGGTTATTCTGATAATTTATCTTAGATTAATGATTAGTTTAACCATATTTACTGTCACACATTAGAGTTGAGTTACAATCTTAAAATTAAATTTATTTTATCAAAATGGGATTCATTCTAATCAATTATTTACGAGTGTATAGTATAAAGCTATAAAGAGTTGTAGTTTAGGTGTATCTTGTTATCTTGTACATGATCATATTAATTAATATGTATTTTGTTTTGGTGCATGTATTTGATCAAACTAAATCTAGATTAAAAATTGATATGAACATAACTAAAATTTTATGTTCGCTTGTAAGTCAAACAAGAAAATATTTTCTGAGAAACCAATCTTCGATGTATTTAAAATAATAATTATAAACTAGATTTTGACCCACACATCTGTACGACTATTTGTTTTAACTTTCAAAAATACGCAGTATATATTTTTGTACATAAATATCGTAATATTAGCATTATATTATTATTGATATTTTATGTTATTTTATATTTTGTATCTTCGGAGTTTTAGAGCATATAAAATTATAAGTTATACAATAAGTAAATAATTATATGAACTTTTTTATTTTATTTCAATTTTTAAACGGAACTTATTTTTGGATAGAAAATTTTGATGATATTAAAAAATAGTAAAAAGATATGATTTATATTATAACAATTCAAATGATAATATAACTACGAAAATTGTGAGACATGTCACTTCTGAGTTGGAATTGGCTAATAGGGTGATTCTTAGTTTTAATTTGCACAGAGGATCACTTTGCTTTTTGGTCATGTGTGAAAAATCATGCACACCCTAAATAATTAGCATATTCACGGAAATACCACAACTTATTATTTTCATTTATGTTTATATATACAATCAATTATGGATAAAGTTAATTAAAGTTTTACTTGAAGAAAACTTTGATTAAGATATATTATCATTTGAACAATCATTAATGTTAAGCATAAATAAAATTAATTGATTATATTTTTAAGAAATATTTTATTAAGAATAATGTTAAAATTTAGGATTAGTTAGCTTCTAATGGCATTAGATATAATTAAAAAATTATTTCTGGATATTGATACTTCAACTTTAGTAAGATAGATTTAAAGTAAATTTATTTAATCAATATTTCTTATCAGAACTTTGATAATCCAAGATAAACTTCCTTCATATAGTTCTTAGAAAATCATATAAATACGAAGATATTCCAAGAAAAACCACAATTCAGAGAAAAAATGGGAAGGAAGAAAATAGAATTGAAGACAATAGAAAGTCCAAAAGAGAAAAGTAGAAAATACTCAAAACGTAAGGAAGGGGTTTTAAAAAAAGGCTGAAGAATTGGCAGTACTGTGCGATAGTGATATAGTTCTCCTCGTCTTTTCTCCCACCTCCAAGCCTAACCTTTTCTATTCTCATTCTAGGTCTTTTTGATCTTTTTATTTACATTGTTTCCAAAACTATAACATGTTTGAACAAAATAATATATATTGGATTAAACATACAATGACATATATTATGTTGCAACTAATATAAAATCATTTATTTATTAATTAAGACACAAAGACTGTTATTTTGAATACTTCATCAATTGTATATTCGAATCAGATATATTTTATAAAAAAAAATGCCTTCGAAGTTGCAGACATCTTAGTAGAATTTTGGAGAAGCTTTCCAATATGTCAGAAGATGAACGAGAAGAGAGGTGGATCTTTCGGGTTTTTTTTCTATTATTATATAAAACTATATTAGCATATATTTTTGTTTTGAATTTTAGCTTGATTTAATATCTATGATTTTTTTTGTATGTATGCATTTAGGAGAGCCTACACAGAAAAGGTTTGATTTACAAACTAGTTATCTGAAAAGATCTTATTTTTTATTTGCCATTTTTACGAAATACTAAGTTTAAATTCTCCAACTTTGTTCATCTAAATTTGTAGACGTTGATGACGCTGTTGAAGAATGAAAATTTAGAAATTCCCAATGAAAATCGAATTATTCTTCTGGAAGGTACAATCGTGATTTTTTATTATTATTACATATCTAATTTAAGACCAGATTTTATCTAATTTATTGCAGAGATGAAGTGCTCCAGGTACCGAAAATAACAGAGTATTTAAATTGTATTTCATTTTTTATAAACACAACAGTTTTAATTTACCTATATAATAAATATGCAGCTTCAAAAAGATGATAAGCTAATTGAACTGAGAGAAGCTAGAGAACTGCTTGATGAGAAAATATCAATTCTAAGGTAAATATTCTGTTAAATAATTTACTTATTAGTAATATTAATTATTTGTTTACTTAATCAAATGTTTACTAATCTACAAGGAAGTGGCAAGACCCGGATAGAGTTGTTGATTTGGCCCGACTCACAATAATGGATGATCATCTAGTTTTTAATCTTAGCCTGTGCAAAAAGGTATTTAGGAGTTATATCAAATAAATAATATTTCTAAGAAATTAAAAGTTAGTGACCTAAATTGAGGAAAAGATAGTTGGTATATTTTTTGGTACGCAAAAAAATAGTGTATTAAATTGTTAAGAAAAATTAAGCTATTGAATTGTTATGGTCAACATTTTTGTTTTCATCTTAAAATTGAAGAAGAGTAGCAAACTCAGATATGATTTCAAAATGGAAACATTATTATTTACTATGTGTATATTATTATGTTCAATATATTTACGTATCAATATACCATCTTACAAAATTTTGTTTTATATTGATATGTGTTGTAAGTAAACAAAATAAATAAAATAATTGGTATGTATTATTTTATTAATAATAATTTTCTACCAGACTTTAAATGGAGGTCTTAAACGGAATCAAGTAAACTTTGAAAAAATAATTAAAATTTTTAAAACAAGTAAATATATAATATTTCATAAAAGACATCACAAAACATTAATAAAAAAAATTTCCATTATATAAAAAGTGAAATTTTCTAGGATAGACATAAAAAAAGTTTTTTTGTCACAAATATAGACCTTAAAAATAACACTAAGCAAAATAGACTTAAATATTTTATCAAAAATAAGTAAATATACACTTATACTCTTTAGGTTAACTAATCCTAGACTTTTTTGTTTAGAGTTGAGGAGTGGAGTTTTGGGATAAGATTTCAAATTTTTTTTTTAAAAAAAAAACTTAAAATTTTCAAAGTAAAAAATGCTATTTTTTGTCATTTTAGTTTTTGAGGTGGATTTTTGTGCTAAAAACTTAAAAAGGTTTATTTAAGAAAATTTCCCATATAAAAATATTTTCTAAAATCTGTAAGATATTGATTCATTAGAAACCTTACTATGAAAAAAAACTCGAACAATTTTGGTTAAAGAGAATAGTGCAATTCCCAATTACTTTCCCCTCATGTGGACATACATAATCTAATAAGACTAACTAACTTCGTCTAAGTAACAATGGGCAGCAGAATAGTCAATAGATCAGCCAAATTGTTACTTGAAGGAAGCAAGCAAACATCATAGTAGAGAATAAAAGTTCAAGTTGACACTTACACTGACACAATGAAATACAATCAGAAGAATGGGAAACCTCCAAACCCAAAAATACTTCAAACGGACAAGATCATGAAGTTTGACACACTTCTTAAGTGCATTAGCCAGTTTTGTAGCTTTTTCATTTTGTCAAAGACAGAGCACTCCCAGTGGGAGACAGATTAGAAGCAAGAGGAGTCCTATCAGGTTCTAAATGCATACATTGCGATATGTCGGAATCAATATCTCACCTATTTTTCCAAACGTCCTTACACGCTAAAAGTATGGAATTGGTACCTTTCTCTGGCGGGTTCACCCCTATGCCTTTGAACAATTTCCACATGTAGTGGAAAAGGCTCTTACTTGCAGTAGCTCTTCCTCCTACTCTTCTTGAAAAATATCCTCTAGCCCCATGGCTAATGTGGGCTATATGGACAGAAGGAAATAAAAAAATGTTTCAAAACAGATCATTCTCTGCTCAAGAAACTGTAACGAAAGCCATATGTGATGCCAAAGAATGGTTGAAGCTCAAGAGCCTGCTTTACCTGTCACAAAAAATCGAATCACCAGCAGAACGAATTAGGTCCTGGAGTTAATTTCAAATCAGATGCGGCTTGGAAGAAAGAGCTACATGCAGCTGGACTTGCGTGGAGTTTTTAGAGTAAAGAGAGCGAATCAGCTCTCACAATAAACCAGTTGTGTTTGTGATCTCGTCCCTCATGGCAGAAGGACTAGCAATACGTGCAGTGATGGAACACACCATCGCCAGTCAGATGAGATGTGTGGTGTTTGAATCGGAATCTTTGCAGATGTGTTGTGTTTGAATCGGATTTAATTTAATGAAAACAATTTTGGTTGTGCACAAAAAAGACTTTTCTGGGCCTCTATCCTCTTTTTATTATTTGAGGAAAATTATTAAAAAAACAACCTTGCATTCATATGTAATTAATCAAAATACCATTATTTATGTGTCAATACTAGAGCCAGTCTCACAACCTTACATTAAAAGCCCTTCTTTTACTAGAATAATTACATTTGATGTCATTAATCACTATAATTAGCCTTAGCAGATTATATTATATTTTTGGTAATCTAGAACCATTGTTCCAATTACTAATATTAACTAATTACATTAATGCTGTAACGTCACTCATCTAAGTGACCATAACTTACTTATAAAATAACACATTAATCAGTATGAACAGTTAGACTTATATACATAAACTCACATATTTGTACCATATGGAAAATATAAACATTTAAATTGGTATGAAAAAATTTGGTACATGGTTAGATCTTCAAAATCCCTTATGTATTAAAATAGGAGCATTTTTAAAAATAAACCTTGCCTTCATGTGTGATTTACAAGAGTGTCATTTACACGTGGCAGCTCCACAATCACTCTCACCCATTTTAATTAAAGCCACTAGATTTTAACCCGCGCAACCACGCGGGTATTTGTTTTCGTTTATAGTTAGTTATATAAACATTTTGTTTTCTCTTGTAAATTGGTATATATTATAGTAATCACATATTTACGATATCTATAGTAAATGTTTTTCAAACATAATAATATTATATAATACGTATTTTAATCAAATAGATTGTTTCAACTTTTCTATATTATACATGTTTTTCAAACATGTGTTTGTTTCTTCTATATTTTATTGTTTGTTAGATTAGTATTTAATTTTCAGATAAGCTAATATAAATAGAGCTTGATTAAATATTAGTATACTTTAATTTGGAAAGATAATATAAACTTCGAAATTTTTTTTGCTAAAAACTAAACTTATAGCTTCATAAATTAATATTATAAAGAATTTTATCAAAATGGAATTTAAAAAAAAAAAAATTAAAACAATATAATTTTAAAAAATTACATCGAAATAAATTTATCTAGTATATATAGCGTGTAAATTTTGTTAGGGTATAAAAATATTATATATTACGAATCTGTGATTTTTGTTAATATAATGTGGATACATTTAACTATTATTGGCATATTTCCTTATAAATAATAGAAGATTCCTAAACTTATATCTATTGACATATTTTGCGTGACTAAGTTGGAAGGTGTGAGGGTAATTTACCAAAACCAAATTTTTAAGTGTATATTTGTTATTATAGATATGATTTTTCAGTAATGATAAGATTATAAGAGAGTTAATGTAACATGACTTTCTAGTAATAGTTCATTTTTTAAAAAATCACACATGAAGTCAAGTCATGACTTCTGTTTTAATATATAAGACTAGATTTTGACCCGCGCAACCGCGCGGGTGTTTGTTTTCGTTTATAGTTAGTTATATAAACATTTTGTTTTCACTTGTAAATTGGTATATATTATAGTAATCACATATTTACGATATGTATAGTAAATGTTTTTCAAACATAATAATATTGTATCATACGTGTTTTAATCAAATAGATTGTTTCTAATTTTCTATATTACACATGTTTTTTCAAACATGTGTTTGTTTCTTCTTCTACATTTTATTGTTTGTTAGATTAATATTTCATTTTTAGATAAAGTAATATAAATAGAGCTTGATTAAATATTAGTATACTTTAATGTGCAAAGATAATATAAACTTCAAAGAAATTTTTGCTAAAAACTAAACTTATAGCTTCATAAATTAATATTATAAAGAATTTTATTAAAAATAAATTTTGTAAACAATTTTTTTTTTAAAAAAATATAATTTTAAAATTTTACATCGAAATAAATTTATCTAGTATATATAGCATGTAAATTTTTTTAGGGTATAGAAATATTCCATATTACGAATCTTTGATTTTGTTAATATATTGTAGATGCATTTAACTATTATTGACATATTTCCTTATAAATAATAATAGATTCCTAAACTTATATCTATTAACATATTTTGTGTGNAAATTTATCTAGTATATATAGCATGTAAATTTTTTTAGGGTATAGAAATATTCCATATTACGAATCTTTGATTTTGTTAATATATTGTAGATGCATTTAACTATTATTGACATATTTCCTTATAAATAATAATAGATTCCTAAACTTATATCTATTAACATATTTTGTGTGACTAAGTTGGAAGGTGTGGGGTAATTTAACAAAACCAAATTGTTAAACGTATCTTTGTTATTATAGATATGATTTTTCATAAGATATAATAATGATAAGATTATTAGAGAGTTAATGTAACATGACTTTCTAGTAATATTCCATTTTTTTTAAAAATCACACATGAAATCAAGTCATGACTTCTGTTTTAATATATAAGATTAGTTTACTAGATTAATTACTACTTTTGCCATTGGTCAAAACATTACATATATTTTCTGTACACTATTGTAGTGACCCGCGAAAATATTTTGATGAATATTGACTTCTTTATCTATAGGGCAATACCTCACCATTAAGCCATATGTTGATATATTGATCGGATAATATGATATATATATATCATATTGTTAACCATAGTTCTACTATTGACTTTCATTATTTGAAATACGTATTTACGAAAATAATAAAAACAAAGTTTAATATACTATTAATTTTCACCTAGACTAATTCCAATATTCAATCTTTGTCTAAAATTATTATATAATTTTTAGAAACGAAAATGTGTTTTCTATGATATTTAAATCACACATATAGTTTTTTACTTTAATATTGAAAAACCACATTTGTTAAGAAGATTTATTCAAATTAATATGTTTTGCTCAGAAAATTTTATTTAAACCATATCTTTAGAAGCGAAAATGAGTTGCATACTACCATATGTAATTATACCATTTATTCCCGCGCCCTGAACTTTCCAAAAATCGATCATATAATGTCAATTAGCATTATTTGCGTGCAGAGAAATGATCTTCTGAATATTCAAAATTAGGAATGTTTTGAGCTAAATATGACACTAATTCCTGTTTTAAACGTACTCATTAATATAATTTGATATTGGTAAT